AAAAAAGAATCTAAAAAAAAAAAAAAAAGACTAAAGTTTTTAGACTTACATTCAGTAGGAGGTAGGAAACCATTGCAGATTTTTCAAGCATGTATCCAAATGGTTTAATCTCATGCTGTTAATGAATGCTTCTTCTGAAGAACAGGCAGCATAGCATAGTGGTTAAAACATGTTTGTTCAATTAAGTGTTTAAGGCTAAAAGGATGTCTGCAACTTTCAAATAGTTCAGGGGAAGGGAAGAAAAGAAAAAAAAAAACCCCAAACAAACCTGTGTGTATGGAGAGTGCAAAAGTGAAGAGGTAGCAAAACGTTAACAATTGGTGAATTGTCAAATAGGTGAATTGTGAATATATCTGTGTTCCTTTCTTGCAACTTTTTTGAAGTTTTGAAAAGTTTCAAAATAAGCAGTTTGGAGACAGAAAGTACGTTTGAATCAGACAGGATTTGGTTCTAGTCATGGTTTCGCTACTCACAAGCAGTGTGAATACTAGAAAATTATTTCCAAACTACACAGTCCATGCTTATTCCAGCCTTATTCTAGTCTAACGGATTTGTCCATATTCGCGAAGAGACTTTTGGTGAATGATTTGTTCACATGGATAGCAAGTTAGTGTTAAGACTTCAAGTTTTCCACAAACTTTAGATCTAGGTTATTTTATTTGGTTCCTGTTTATCTCCCTTTTTCTGTCTTCTTTTGGATTATTCAGTATTTTCTATGATTCTATTTTATCTTCTTTGTTGGTTTGTTAGCCATAATTCTTTGTTATTAATGGCCTCGCTTTAGGGTTTATAGTATGCATCTTTAACCTATCACAGTCTTCCTTAACCATTTTTAAGTGTACAATTCAGTAGCATTAAGTACATTCACATTTATTTCCAAAACTTGAAGTAAATTGTATCTTTAAGCGACCTCTATCCCCCCAGCCCCTGTAACCAATAGTTTATTTTCTATCTCTCTAAATTTGCCTATTCTAGATATTTATAAGTGGAATCAATAATATGTGTCCTTTTGTTTGGCTTTTTTCACTTAGCATAATGGTTTCAGAGTTCTTCCATGTGGTAAATGAAGAGTATAAGAACTTCAGTCTTTTTCAATGGCTGAATAATATTCCATTGTATTTTACCATATTTTGTTTATCTGTTCATCTGTTGATGGACATTTGGGTGGTTTCCACTTTCAGCTATTGTGAATAATACTATTCCGAACATTGGCATACAGATATTTGTTTGAGTCCCTGTTTTAAATTATTTTGGGGTATATACCTAGGAGTGGAATTGCTGGCTCTATTTAGCTTTTTGAGGACCCACCAAACTGTTTTCCACAGTGGTTGCACCATTTCACATTACCACCAGCAGTGTATCAATTATCTTTCAAAGGAACAAAATCAGATTTTTTTTTTTTTTTTTTTTTTTT